TCTTATTTTCAATTTCCAACATAATATCAGAGTTAAGAAGATTTCTTACCCAAGTAGAATGACTTGAGGATGCAATAATGATCTCATTTTTAAGCTCAATAACTATAGTGTCAAATCCAATATCATCAACAGGTGATATAGAGGAGGTAATGGAAGAAGATTCGGTATTATCTAATACATTATCAGTAAGTAACGCATCTTCTATAAAGCCAATTAGAGCATGTGGTGAGCTATTAGGGAGCTCATAAGATGTATCTCCATTAAAATCACTAGGAAACAACTCAACAAAAGGATTAGTAAAAAGTGGAGGTTGATCAAAAGATGACACCTTGAAGTCTAATAGTGAGGAAAACATAGTATGTTCCCAAAAGATAATATGATGTGAGACTTGAAGTTTTTCTGACACTGAGTCCCAACAACGATATCCTATATGTGTAATCTCATAACCCAAAAAGGAGCATAATCAAGTTATAGCTTGTTATGTTCATGAGATGACAGAAACCTTAAGAAGATCATAGACAGGAAGAATACCATGCAAATGCTCATATGGAGATTGGTTATTGATGACTGTTGATGGAATTCGATTAATGAGATGAATAGTTGTAAAAGCAGTTTGACCCCAAAATGACTCTAAACAAGAAGACGAAATGAGCAAAGCACGAATAGAATCAACAATGTGCATGTGTTTGTTTTTGACTTGTCTATTCTATTTAGAAGTGCAAGGACAAGATTGTTGTGTCCAAGTGCCTTGTTCTCTAAGAAAAGATTGAAGTCTAGTATCAAGATATTCAGTAACATTATTAGTTCTCAAAACTTTGATAATTTTAGATAAATGGGTTTTGACCATGGTAGCAAAATCAATGTAAAGTTTACATGAACCACATCTTGGCCTTAAGCATCCCCCAAATAAGGTTTTCCAATTGAAATGAGCTCTATATGGTTTGAAGCAAGCACCTAGAGCCTGATTTGCCAAGTTTAGTACCACTATCAGTGAATTTGGTCTTACTTCTATTCCTCTTAATACTACACTATACATATGCAAGACTAATCGTGCTATGGTTCTATTGCTTCTTTATGTTGATGATATAATTATTACTAGGGATGATATTTCAGGTACTCATGATCTTAAGTAGTCTTTCAGTCATAAGTTTGAGATGAAAGATCATAGTGTTTTGAGCTATTTATTGGGACTTGAGGTCACTTCTTTGGATAATGGTTATCTCTCTCCTAAGCAAAATATGCTTCTAATCTTATATCTAAAGCTTGACTCATTGATAGCAAGACTACATCTACTCCTCCTTAATCAAATGTTCAACTTACACTTATGTATGGTTCTCCATTAGTTGATCATAATTGCTACAGATAGTTGGTTGGGAGTTAGATTTAACGTACCACAACACGATCAAACATAACTTATGTAATTCATATTGTGAGTCGGTTTATGACTGTGCCTCGCTTCACTCACCATGCAACAGCACTTTGCATTATTCACTATATTAAAGGTACCATTTTTCATGGACTTCACTTTTCTACTCATTTATCTCTTGAACTTCATGTTTACTCTAATGCTAATTAGGTTGCAATCCCTAATGATCATAAATTCATTGCTAGTTATTGTTGTTTCTTGCATTATTTAATCTCTTGGCATGGTAAGAAACAAATAGTTTCATCTCACTCCAACATAGAGGCGAAATATCAAGCACTTGGAGAGTTACTTAATTTACATTGGTTACTTGAAGATATAGGTGTTCCTTAGCTGCTTGTTACTGATCTTTACGATGATGACTAGATTGCCATGCGGATTACTCATAATAATGTCTTCCATTAACGCACTAAACACATTGAGGTTGACTATACTTTATACACCATTTTGTTGCACAAATAATTATTCATTTGTCAACTAGCAAAATCTTTTCTACAAGACTCATTTTCTTGGATGCTTTTGAACTCGTCTCCAAACTCAACTTGGTTTCATCACAACGACCTTGAGTTTGAAGAGAGTGTTAACATATGAACACAATAATTAATTATCAACTATTCACACTATTTAAATTGTATTAATACTATTTATATTTATTGTAAATATTCTATACTTTAAAATATTCTCTTGTAATTATTTTATTTCTTAAAATATTCTCTTCATAAACATCTATATATAAGTTATTATACATACAATATTAATAAGAAAACAGTAAAACTTTCTCTTTTCAATTTCTAACAAATACAAGTTTGAAGTTTCATCGATCTTCCATATCTGACATTGTTACCTCATTTACAGAGCAATTCTCTGCCCAGCTGCCAAGACATGTGTTTGAATTTCCCACACTTCTCAGATTTGAGAAAGCTGGTTCTTTTCGGGACATACTTATGCGTTATGCCTACAAATTTTAAATGACAACATTATAATAAGGAACAGTGGTATACTGCATAATTGCAATCATCTGTGAACTTTATTGAAATGCTAATGTTTTCTAAATCAACTTGACAAGCATGAGGCCATGACCAGATATAGAAATCTGAAATCCTAGCCAAGATGCGACGAAGCACGAAAGAGAACATATGACCTGCTACAATCTCTTCTATCAATTTGACAGTCAAGGTTCTGCAGCTCTTAATTTCTTTCACAAGGCATTAATAAATTGTTAAATTCTAAATAATTTAATCAAGTTCTTAATCAAATGATGACTAACTGAATAATGAAAAAGATTCCTTTTGAAACAAATCCAGGAAAGTTTGTAATCATTCTTTATAGTTTAATAAAGTTCTAGCAAATGGAATTATGATATGAAGAAGGCAGATAAAATTACCTTCTAATTTTGCACAGGTCCTCCAAATGTAATAGCTGACAAGAATCAAACTAACAAATACAAGAACAGGAACTTAAATTATTGTGATTCTCTGTAATTTAACCTAAGGATTGTAATGTCAGATCCTGCCCACCATCATTAAACTGCTTAAAATCAATCAGATCACCAAACCAAATGACGCTACCACTACCTTTTCCTCTGATATCTGAGTGTGTGTAGGACATACAAGAGCAATTCTGCAAGCATTTACTTCTGCATTCCCTCAGATCCATGCTTTTGTTCACCCAAGACCAAGAGTAAGTTGTATCTGGCAATTTATTACGAATAAATTTAATAAATTGATCTCCACTCTAGCAATCTAATATGGCTTACTCCATGCACAGCCTTGACCTTGAGAGCAGTCCATTGAGTTCCACTTTTGTGGTGATATAGGGTTGCATCCTTTCAAACTTTGACAAGGTGGCAACTCAGTACTGTCACAAGTCCCATACACACCACAATGTCCATAGTTGTCACATATGCCCCTTGGCAGATAGAAATATACGATCCAGTTTCTAGTTTCTTCATTCCATATCAAGCACTGACCCAAATAATTAGTTTGGTTTATAATAAACCTTCAGATCACTGATCTTTTATGTTATAACTGAAGTATACCTCCTCCTCATTTGAGATAAAGTTCAACTCAAAAACTGTAATAGAACTTGATTCGGCCTCATCATTATATCTGAGGCCATTCCAAGGTCCTGGTGGTAAATACCTTTTTGAACCCTTCAGCATAACAAGTTATGGGTAATTATGTAGTGATAGCCCCAAAGTAAAGTCTCCAGGAGGTGGATCATCTGGACTCTTCCATGCTGATAGCTGTCAATGAAGACCAGTTATCAAGTCCCACCCAAGCTTCATCCTTGCTAGTAACGTGTCAGTTGGATAGTCAAAGCTCAGCCATAAAAATATTTCTGAGTTGCCATCTTTTTCATCTCTCAGTACAAGATTTCCAGAATCTAAGAGTTGTAGGACTAGATTTTGAGCTTCTTTGTTTGAGTTTGATGACCAAATAATAGTCTTATTTTGACTGGTAACAACAAGATTGCCTGTGCTGTTTATCATCAGCAATCCAGATAAATCCATGATTGGATTGTGCCGAGTTGCAAGCCACACAATAGTTCTGATTGGGATATTCTTGTACCAAATTCCCAAATAATGGCCCTCAGAGATTCCGGGACTGAAGAAAACCAGTTCAAAGCCACCATCTTTAGAAACTAAGGTCCTGCCATCACTAATAGATTGGGATGAGGTGATGATAGTGGTTCCACCTGAGAATCTAAAGAAGAAAAATAGTAAAATGGTGTACACAAACTTGTAAAATAGAATGTCCATCCATTTCCTAGTTTTCACGGCCTGAAGATATACCCTCTATACTATAATTAAAAGGACAATGATCTCAGAAAACATATATAAACTTGCATGCAGTTCTTCCCTGCGAAGATTGCAAACTTTTCCTTGTTAGTTAGTAAACACAAACATTTTCAGTAATGACATGCAGGTATCCTATGGTGAAAAGTTGTGCATTGTTACAAGGAGTTATGACCTATTTTACAGGCAACATACGCCAGCCACAACAGCGAAAGATAACGATGGCATGTGAATACCATCAAGGATTGAACAATGATCCATTTTACAATTTAACACAGATCATAATCAAATCACAAAGAAACTAATCGTCTGGATTTCCTTTCTAGTTTTGACCATCAAAGGCTTCAAACAAGACACTCTTTACACAATTTATGATTCTAAGAGTGCGCGTCTAAAGTACTTCATCAAACAAAGAATTTTAGAGAAGAACATCATCTTGTATTATCAAGACTAGGAATCAACTACCTTTTTAAAAATTTTATTTTTTCTTCTCTATTTTTATCACCACCAATGAACCAAATCATTTCCAGTCATCTAACAGAAAGATTACATGGTTCCTAAAGCAGGAAGCTTGGTTCTATCATTTATTGTCCACCATATGGAATTGAAATTATTCACACATGAATAATTAGTGCAAAGGGAATTTGAGATTAACAGACAAAACTTGGCCATTAAGGTGAATATGTGAAAATGAAATACCTCTTGATCACAACTCAGGAGTCAGATTGCAATACAATTCAGATGTTCTTCGACAAACTAATCAAATTAAAGGGATGTTCATCTACTTCTGATTTCCAACGAAAATTGCTTCTCTATTGATGTTTAAATCAAGGTTGCTAAAGAAAACCCAGAACAAAACAGTAATCTCATTTGTTGAAGAAGATGATTCAGTCAAAATTAATCCTTTCTGTATATTCCACCAATTTCATTACATTCCCAGAAAAATTGTAAAACAAATGGAGAAAAATGCATGGTCAAAATCATTAGTAACCATCCTTGAGTTCCTGTTCAATAGCTTCTTGGAACACAAACCGGGAAGCCTCCATCAACTCAGGACTCAACCGGAACATCAAAACGCAAAACTCCATCTGACTAAGTGCGCCGTCCCCGTCGAAATCCCCTTCTTTCAACATGCACCGGAGGTCATCATCGGTCAAATCCTGCAAACCCAGAAAAGCAGAGTTCCTCTTTAGACTTTCAAAAGTAATGACCCCCTTCTCGCCGTCAACCAGCAAGTTGAACCCATTGCACAGCTCCTCGATCAGGCCGTCACCGCCGAGCTTGCCTGCCATGAGGGGTAGGAAATCATGGAAATTTTGCAACGGGTTTTGAGAAGAAGATGCCATTTGAAGAGTAGTTGCAGAGACAGAAATTCTGAAATTTGGGTATGTCCAAGGGAAGAAGATGGGAATAAAGGTTCATGCTTGAGCGTATATATAGAGTTGGCAGAGGAATAGGGATTTCCGAGAAGGAGCGGCCGTGGAAGCCAACTGAGGAACAGGTAATGAAGTTCTGTCCATAGTAATGTTCATGTTTCCGGGAAGGCTGCTTGGGGGTAGAAATGCCATTTCAGCAGCAAACATGATGGTGACTTCTTGTGAGACTTCTAGTTAACAAAGGATTCTTATGGTAAGTTTAGATTTTTATGGCAAACTTGTAATCAAAATAATGTAAAAGTGCCCATCAAAAAAAAAAAAAAAAATGTAAAAGTGTTCCTTTAGAAAAAGATATATTGTAAAAGTAAAATCCACGAGTTCTAATTCTAATAAGATTTAAGTAGACTTGGTAAAAAAGTTTGATTTGGTGAGGTAGGATTGAGTGATTTTAGATTTGTTATTTTAAATTTTAAGTTAAGAAGATAAATTCATTGAATAAGGTACCGTTTGAGAATGTGGTTGTGTTTTTTTTTTTTAATTAATTATATATATATGTTCGTGTGTGTTTAATATTTTTTTATTACATTTTAAAAAATTATAGAAAATTACATTAAATTTATAATAATTTTATATATATAATTAAAAACTTTATTTTAAAACTCTTTATTTATGATTTTTACTGATAATATTTAATATAATTATAAAATTATCATTAAAACTTAAATCTCATTTAATTTAATTACATTATAATTTATAATATTTTATTCAAACATAATCTCTCATTTATTTAAAAATTTTATTAAAAAAATAAAAATTCATTCTTATGAGTTGCTATCTCATTAAATCTAAAAGAAAACCCATCATAAGAAACTTAAAAAACCTAAATTATTAAGTTTCAAATGTTGTTTATTTAATAATTAGACATCATATAATATTTTTAAAAAATAAATAACTAAATATTAAAATAATTTTCAATCACAACTATAATATAGTACAATTCAACAAAACTATAATCACAGCCACAACTACCATCACAGTACCTTATATTAATTTCAAATGCACCATGAGTTGGGTGAATCTAACTTTTTTAAAAATTAAAATTAAAATCTTTAAATATTTTCTTTAATTTTTATAAAAAAATTATATTAATTAATTATTTAGTAAAAATCTATTAAATTAATATTAATTCTAATAATCTAATCAAGGTTTTTAAAACCGAATCAGATCGGTCGGTTGAACTGATAAGATCAATATTCAGGGATGAAAACGGTTTGGTTTACATAAAAAATCGTTTGAGGTCAAAATTGGTCAAAATTGGTCAAAACTGGTAGAACCAATGAACCAAAAAAATTGTCGGTTCAATTTCTCATGCAATCTTCTTTCAATTTTTTCCAATTTCACCCTCCTCATTCCTTTCTTATACCTATTTTAACCTTTAATTTTAACAAAATTACAAAATTATCAGACACCAAATTAAAAAACTCTCGCCCTGCAGCCTGCTCATCTCATCAAATCTCCTTTGCTATTTGGATCGATCGGTTCACTGGTTCAACCGATTGAACCAATTAAACCAAAAACCAAACCTAAAAATGGTTCAATAACCAGTTCGATTTTACAACCTTTTTTTTTTTTTTTGTCATGGGGCGGGTTCGAAACCCAACCCGCCCAGGGGAAGGGGATGTGCACTTTTCAATGGCTCTAGCCATTGAGCCACACGGGCCAAGTGCTCGATTTTACAACCTTGAATCTAATAAACAATAATTATTTTATAACATTTAATTTATTTTTATATTTAAAAATATAATTAATTAAAATTTTATATTTAAAAAATTAATTAATTTTAATCAAATCACCTTAAAGTGGCTCAATTTAATGTTAATCTAATTTTATTAAGTTAAATCTAATTAATTTTAATATGAATCATATCAAATCCTAAATTTATACTTCATACCTTCAATCAATTCATAATGGATGAGTTAGATTGAAGGTTCAAATTGAATCTAATTTTATTATATTTAGATTTAAAATATAATTAATTAAAATTTTATATTTAAAAAATTAATTAATTTTAATCAAATCACCCTAAATTGACTCAATTTAATTTTAATCTAATTTTATTAAGTTAAATCTAAATAATTTTAATTTGAATCATATCAAATTCTAAATTTATACTTCATATCTTAAATCAATTCATAATGGATGAGTTAGATTGAAGGTTCAAATTGAATCTAATTTTATTATATTTAGATTTAAATAAAATTTATATTATATCTAAAATATAAAAAATTAATCAGGGAAGAGAACCGAATATTCCCTTCCTTAACGGAATCGGTAATATGTTCCAGTCCCCATGTTTTCCTCTCGTTTAAAATAAATGTTCCAGTTCCACTGAGTCGGCCGTGACGGAGACAGGGGAGCAGCCGGCAACTTGGCTGCGGAATCAGTAATATCCAAATTTATCCTTGTTCTCTAACTATGACTTTTTCACAAAATCAGCGTGTTGGTTGACTAAAGAAACTCTGGTCTAAATCGTGCGCAAACTTGCGAGCCAAATCAAACCCCAATTCCAAGGCAAGCAGATTTTTCCAAAAGAGACCGCCCCAGGCCGGCACTGGGCTTTCAAGACCTTTCCAAAAAGGAAGAGAGCCTACGTCATTGGTGAAGAGATCAATGGAGGAAACAAGATGGCCTCACTTGATGAAGAGATGAGTCCAGCAGGGGAAACCTGGAAAGGCCCA